CACCATGGAGCATTGGGTTTAGACCCACTGCAGGTGTCCCGAATTGGCGAGGAGTCCAGCGGGGAACCACTAAGAGGGCCCGAAACTTTTGTTCCCCTCGCTCTTTTTCAGTTTCCGGAAGTCGCCTGGGTTCAGTCCAGGACTAACCACTTACCTATTCGGTGTAAGTCTTGAGTTTGGTGGAAAGTCAGTGGACCGTTACGTGTTGCATACACCCTGGAAAGCCATAAATATGGGCGACCGTCTGGATTCTTTTTAAAGAGCAAACTAGCATGAATCAATTATTGGGTTATCGCAGTGTATATCATAGCAACTCAACTTGACCATTGATAAAACTATGGACAGCCTTGAGCTTGAGGGCTGAAGCTCAAGCACCATGGTCGAGAAGCCACTCCAGCCGCGAACCCGGTTGGCGGGACCGTGGATCCCCCTGCACAAGCACGCCACGATCAGCCAGCATCAGCCGAGATCTGCCAGAGTATTGGGATTACTTCTTCCAGGGTCATTTATCTCATGTACGGAGTAGTATAGTGTAAGTACGAAGTAGGGAAGTCTCTGGAATGATGATTTATGATAATTTGGAAGAGTACCTACAGTAGCACCTAGCATATGTAGGTAGGACGCGCCAAATTCATTGGCGGGTGGCATGAATAGTATGCGTGTTTGTTTTCCGGCCATCTCTCAATTCCCCTACTTTAAGTGGATCAGATGGATAACTACTGTACGCAGCAGTACCATGTCAACTAGGGTAGTATGCTACTAAGGTACTTGAGTGGTCCGTTGGTTGAGATTAATCATCAGGCACTTACTACTAGTCGTAACTTCGAAAAAACAAAAACTGAGCTCCGGCCTAGCTAGGTCCTGGTAAAGCTTCAAAAAGCGAACAATTGCATAGGCTCACAAGGCATTATGATGGAATTGGTGAAACACTTTCCATAAACCTTGTCCTTGTCCTTGTTTTGATCTTCGTTATTGTCCTACAGTGACTGGGATTTGGTTTCACAATAGTGTTCATGATCAAGTTTGTTTAATCCATTTGAGATTTCTATTGTCAAAAAAATCCAGTTCATCCATTTGATGGTGCGCCACACTAGAGAAGTATGAAAATAATGGAATCATTTGTGATGTTATGACATTACCCGTGCATACCATATGATGATATATCTGCCATCAGAGAATTATAGGCTGGAATTTGTCAACATCCAGAATGCCAGGCCCTTGGATCTGGGGTTGGTCCTCATGATCCTGGTTGACGTGTAAGGATTGATCCTCATAATCCTGGTTGACGTCTAAGGATTGATCTTCATGATCCTGGTTAACGTCTAGATGACCGCACAGTTGCAGAAAAAGAAAAGAGATATCAGATGCACATTTCCTCCAAACAATAGATAATATGTAACAATGATGAGTATTTATTATTCTAGACCGTAACCTCTCTACTGCGTGGAAAACGTAACTGCACTTCTGATTGCTAGATCGTGAGATCGTCCATGCCAAATCTCCTGCACCATTTGGCTGGGAAAGTGGGAAGGGCTGTGCTTTTTCCACCTCCAATCAAAACACGGCGATCTCCCAATTGGCTCAGGGACAATCTTCTTGGATGTCTAGTACAGTGCACGGAATAAAAACATATCAAATCAGAAAGAAATGTCTATCTAGTAGTTCCTAGTCACTGCTACGAGTACTCCTATTAGTCCTCGATACCTTAATATCTCTGTGGAGCGACCCGTCTATCTTGGTCTATTGAATTGTCCCCAATAATGCTGAAAAAAATACCTTAGAACAAACCATTAATTCTGCTCAGTATCCAATAATTTGTTAAACATCTTATTGTTAAAGTTAAGATTGCGACTATTGACGTTGTTCCCATCTCCCTAGCACTGCTGCTACGGTCCATGGCCCACTGTCCGACTATACATCACTTTTCCATGGATCTTCGAACCTCTTCTTTCCGTCCGCTCCCTGTCGTTCCTGTTTCTCTTCTGTTTCTTCTGCTTCAGATCTCATCTCTGTCTCATGTTGTGTCGCCCATCGTGCATTTCGAGCAGTACTTTTTGTCCTCTTCCCTTTATTCGTCTGGGATTCTGAGGCTCCATTCCACCATTGTCCATTCCTCTTCCTCAAAGAATCCAGGATCTTCTCTCCACAGACGTAATTGTCAGTTCCGCAATTGTCGGCTGCATGCATTGTGTGAAAGAACATCATTTTCTTCGAAAAGCAACTTCCCTACAGCCACAGTCAAGCCATCTGCCGGTGTCAGGCCTGGACCCTGTAGTTAGAACGTTGTACAATCGTATCCTTCCAATCTCCCGAGGAAAGACAAACAAGATGCCTTTTTGAGTGATGTGTTCATCGGATCATCGCTAGCATACGCTTCTACGATCTGGTTGAGATTGAAACGTCGCCTATATATACTATGGAGTGGCCGTCTACAGCTTCAACCGAACTCTTCATAACACGCGACACTCAAATCCTTATTCCGTCTCTTTTACCAATCCAAAACATAACTTGATCCTTACACACCGACACATCTTTTGTCTTGGCTCCTGCAGATTCCATCCCTACCATCTTGTCCGGACCCTGGAGCATTGTTGCATACGCCCTTGCCTTATCTCGACTCCAGAGCCCGGGTATTGTTTCCCAACCATTCGGATAAAGAAGGAGCCATCGCCCTTACAACCTTAGGTTGTCTCTCGAGACCCAGAGATCTGGTTCGACCCGATAAGATTTTCTTATTTGACAGTTCCGTGGTAAACTCAATAAGTACGTGGCGGAGGCAAGCACGACTACCATTCCTCTGCTCGCATACTAACCTCTGACAGTCGCCAACATGGCCAACCAGTGCTCGGGACATGTTTTTGCCATTGTGCAAGCTACCAACGGCAATATCCTCACCTGGCGCTGCTCAGATTGCAACTCCGGTCCGTTTGTGGCTATCTGGCGTTGCAAGATATGTGGTCACTGCCGCTGCAACGCATGCCATAACGCCAAAGCCTAGGTACTAGGTATATCTACGGCGTCGTACTGCACCGGTAGGCTCTCATTCAAACAAGCCAGTGTCTGTGGAATTTGCTGATAGGATCCTTAGGCCACCCTCGCGGCACCTCAAGCAGTCAACTCGCACGAGACTCAGTTGCTTACCCGTCCAAGACCACAATTCTCAAAGCTCTCAGTCTATCAGTTGACTATTCTTCGCGGATGTTTGCTTCTTATCCGATTGGCTCGCAATTGTGATACTCACCCTGCGCGAGGCTCTTCTGACCGGTCCTACTCGATATCATGAAAGCACACAATTACGATCGAACTCCTCAGCTCTTTACTTAACGTCTGCAAAGTTACGACCTGATCCTGCTGTTTCATGAACTGTTCTTTCAGCACTGCATCCGTACTCGGTGTCAGGTTCAGCGACAAAAGCTTCGGTCTTTGTCTTTTTACTTTTGATTCCTGTTGATGGGCGGTTCTTTGCATGGCATACAGGTGGCTGTCATCGACTTTTTGACTTTCTTCTCCTTCCAGTTTGTTTTCGTGGCCAGACTGCTCGTACTTGTTTTATTTCCCTGGTAATGTTAAATAGAGAACATACATAGACTCAGGCAACTGACGCGGCAACGCAACTCATTACACTCATTTCCAAATGACTACTATCATACACCTTAATCCAACAAATCATCATCGTAGGTCCCTTGGGACCAGGTCTCGTGCCCGTTAACTTAGTTTGATGTGGTAGTCTGTACCACGCGAAATGCATCGTGTACAACGCAGCCAAGCTTCAACAAAGACAAGGGTCCAAGGCATGATCGCCGTTGGTTGGATTCTAAATCCATACAGCCCTTGTGCTATCCGTTGAGTCATTGCTTCTTCAGAGGTTGCGTACCCTGCTGTGTGCATGCTGGAATTAACCGGTGGAATGTACAGAGTGCACGACGGCCAATTGCTCTCATTTTTATCTCTGTAATGGAAGATAGTCACGAGTTGGTTGATTACACACGGAAGATTTTCTGAAAAGTATGTTCTCAACATAGATATTAATAATTGTTGTATGTGTGAGAGTTTCCAGATGGATACGCGAAAGGAGTCGAAGTATATGTTTATACGCCGGTTCCGAGATCAAAGATAGCCTGAATTGATGTGAGGCTTTCTTGAGGTGATACCTAGTTTTGTTGTTGCTGCTGCTCTCTGTTGCTAGTGTTGCTGTCTGCTGCTTTTGCTCCTGAGCGAAAGGGTAAAGAAGGCAGAGAGATATGAGCTTTGAAGCCCCCAGATCCTGGATCTCCAATGTGAATCGTTCATTGTTTGCAACGCACGACTCAAGCTTCATCCAGGGAACGAGACGAGTTTATTTCATAATTGAGGAATCCGAAGAGTTAGCTCATGGACTGTTTCTTTGGCATAGCAGTCTGAGTCCACTCGTCCTTTCTTGATGTTCCTGCTGAGATGGCAGCTTTCCACATTTCGAGGTTCTCTTCGAGCGATGTAGAGTGAAGTCTAGATGTCAGTCCGTACATTGTTCATCAGCAATATCCACTCTGTCCCCATCCCTGCCTATATATCTATTCACCTTCCCCGTCACGTCACTTATATCGGCCTTCATCTGTCTGAAAGCTGCATCCACATCCGCCTCCACTTGGAGGCCGCGGATCTCCTCCTCTAGCTGGCTGATCTGGTCCTGTAGCTCCCTCTTTTGCTGAAGGTGCTGGCTTTTCACTGCCTTCCGCTCTTCGAGCTCTTGTAGCAGCTCCTGCTTTCAGAGGGCCTAGCCCTTAGTTAAGGTATCCCCCTAGCCAAGGCCCCTAACTTCATCGTCAGAGACAACCCAGTGATCGGCGCGGAGCTAATAATAACCTTATAGTTAGTACTATCTTAAGATATATAGTGCATATAGTATAGGGTACATAGTATGTATCTATACATATATGTACGCATTGATACTTAAAAGGGAACTTACCCCTTCTAACAGCCTATTCAACTTCCGAACAGTTTCCGCGATGTCTCTCTTCGACTTATGGAAAGCCATGGATCTTCGCCTCCAGCTCTCTTTTTCTTTCCAGATGCTGGTCCTTTATCACTTTCAGTTCCTCAAGGTCCTGCAGCAACTCCGTCTTCCAGAGGGCCTGGCCAAGCGCCTCATCCTCTCCAGCGGGCTGATCTGAAACTACCCAATGTTGGGATCGGAGCTAATAATAACCTTATAGTTAGTACTATCTTGACATATGATGCCTGTAGTATACAGTACAAAGTATATATCTACACATGTATGTATGCATTGATATTCAAAAGGGAACTTACCTCTTGTAGGTACTCCTTCCTCTATTCTTACTTCATCTTCTCCAGGCGAGGCCTCTATAAGTCAGTTAGTCATGTATCTACCAAGAATGCTAGTATTATTACATTGGTCTCCGTCTGGCGCATCTTCGTTTCTTCCTGGAGCCACTGGGCCCTTGTGGGTTTCAGTCGCAGCTTTACGGCATCATCAGCGTCCTGCCAGGCCTTGTGCGCCTCATCAAAGGCCTTCTGCGCAGACTCTAGTGCCTCCTTTACTGCCTTGCGCTTCTGGTTGGCCTCATCCCGCTCCTGCTTCGCGGCTTCCCACTCGCCATCCAGCTGTTCGACACGGAGCTTCTGCGCGCGTGTTAAATTTGACCGCAGCTTTTCAGCAGACACTGCCTTTACCCGCTTTTCCGCCTCGACCCATGCCCTCTCCGCCTCCTCCCACGCTGCTTTGGCCTCTTTGCGCCTCTGGTGCGCCGCCTCCCGCTCCTGCTTTGCTGCGGCCCACTTACCATCCAGCTCTTCAACACGGAGCTTCTGCGCGCGTGTTAAATTTGACCGCAGCTTTGGCACCCCCAGCCCTCTCTGGAACCTCTCTGGCAATGCTGAGACATCATGGCCCATCTCCTCAATCTAGTAGATAATATCAATTAGTTACTGATATATACATGTGTGTATAGACAATATAGACTTACCACGCGAGTGATCCTGGCGCGCTCATCGCGCCGGATCTCCTCTTCATGTTTCTGCTTCTTGGTAGGCTACAACTAAGATCAGTCGCATATCCTCGGTAAGGCAGTATATCAAGATATACCCACAGCAACATCTTTGCTTTAGGGAGGGTTCGTCCGAATCTTAAGGCGGCGTCGCGTAAGCCGACAAACAAGGTCGTTGCTATGGCCTCTTTCTTCTCTTCGGCGTCCATCTGCATACCGGCCCACATATACCGGCATTGGTCAATGTAAAGATCGACGTCTTCACCTGGTCTCCCAGAGAAGATTGGTTGATTGGACATGGTCATGATTGAACGACGCTGCCTAGTCACAATCGGTAAGGTGTTCTCTTGGGATGTCTTCTGGTTTCCCTTGACTGAAGGTTGACGATGTAGATGAACGAAGGGCGGTAGTATTCTGAAGCCACTCCAGTATGGCTGCAGAGCTTCGAGGGGGGCGGCCACTGACACTGGTGATGCTGCTTTTGCAGCAGCGTCTAGTGGCTCATGCTGTTAGCAAGTTATCGACCTAACTTGCATGCCTTGGGTCTCTTCTCACATACTTTGTCTACTTCCTCAAAATCATCTTTGCAGCAACTAATGCTGCATTGGCCTCCTCTTTCAGGTGAATGGACTGGTCACATCCTGAGTTGCATCGGCCATGTATATCCATAGCTGGCTCACTCCTCTTTGTTGTGGGAATCAGAGGCGTGTTGCGTGATTTAGTCGCCTCCATGAGCTGCTCTTTTACATCCGACAGGTTCTGCTTTGACGAACTCTGCTGTGTCAAAAGGCATTCCATCAGGCGTTCTCTCACATCTTAGCAGCTGTACGGCTGCCTGCTCGAGCATCCGCTTCTCTGAAGTCTTGTGGTACATCGATGGAGGACTTCAGTGTGATTTCAAGATCACGCATAGCATGAAGAGGTTGGCAAATACAGACGGATTTGTAAATATACCGTCCCATCCATTCGCAGCCCCTCCCCTCCTGGGCCTCAAAACCTCTAAGGACCATGCGTCCTTCTCAATCAGAGTCGGACTTGCATGGAACTCCGCGGGGTTTCAATTCGGCAAAAAAGTCAACTGATACACCCTCCAGCACTCGCTGGGCCGGTGTGAGTTCGCCCCGCAGCTTGGGGACCTCCAGCCATGCCTGGATTTCCTCCGGCACGAGGATACCTCTCTCGGCCATCTAGATAATATTAGCCACGGACATTTCCATTATCGTATTATAAACTTACCTCACTCAAAAGGTCTTGGCGCTCCCTTCGCCTGATGGCATCTTCTCTGCGTCTTTTCTTGCTCGGCTAGAATCAACAGTCGGCCCATGTGCTTTGTAAGGCAGGAGGCGGCTGTTGTTGCTGCTATTGGTACTACTTCTAGTATCTCGTATTGTTAGCAAGTCAATCGACCAAAATTGCATACGTGATGAAACCCGAAGATCCATGGTACCATCGGGAGAGTGGACAGGAAACTCACCTATTTGACCATACAGGTCGGTCAAGAAAGTATAAGTCATCGCGAGAGTCCCGCAGATGAACCTGCAAATCGACTCTAATCGAGTGAGGGCCCTCTGGCTCCAGGGATATAAAGAAAGGAAGATGGAGAGCGGAGAATCATGGGAGAGACAATGGTATTTATCTCTATCTGCCTCAGTTCGATCTGCCGTTGAATGACTGGTTTAAGATCCTTACAGTGAATGAAGATTGTTGAAATTCACTATCCTCAAGTGCTACATATCATTGACCACAGTGAGCATTGATGAGGTTAGTGAATGTGATACCTAGTTAGTGAATATAGTTCAATAGATCTGAGATATGGGAGGAGGTGTAAGGCAAGACATACTGACAACCAAGCCATGAGTCAGTCATCTAGACTAAATTAGTAAGGAAGTAGCTGGACACCTAAGGTGTGTTCCATCTTACCTATCCCAAGTCAGAAACATTAAAGTCTAGATAGGTGATGCTTTAGGGGCTAGAAAGTCACTGTATCTATAGAATGCCCTGAGGCCGGAAGCAAAAAAGCACAAAGTGGGCCCATCAGCCTTGTCCTATGGTCGTACAAGAGGGCGTTCGGCAAGCTGTGGCATGAAGTCATTTAAGGGACACAGAGAAATCCTCCTGTCTCTTGTGAGTAATGTTTCTACCTTCTTCTTCTTAATCCAGGCATTGAATCCAGTAACACGCATAGGTCTCAAGTTCTGCATATCCAGTATACTTCTTCCTGTATTGAGGCGGCATAACCTCGCTTTCATGAGTCTGCAGGCMCTTCTAACGACCTTTCAGCAACAGAGAGCCTGCCTAATGGGCAGAAGCGGTCGATTTGTGCGAATAATAGGCAGGCGTCTAACAGAATGCCTAGACTGTCAAAGCTAGCAAGTTATTGTTCGAGAAGGTACAATGTTGATTTCGCCGAAGCCAAAAAACTTTTGAGGTTGACGCCTGGAAGCCTTCTGAAAACGATATCAAAGAAAATATCAACCCATAGCCTATAAGATTATAAGCCGGTATACATCACTAAAAAGAAATGTTATGAGAAAGTAATGAGCAGGCTCTGCCACAATGAACACCAGTACTGTGTTCACACAAGGATATGGTGCGAAGGATTGCACACACCTAGGAATGAAGACTAGGAGGTCGTTGGACTTCTCCTCGACGAGCAAAGCGCCAACATGGACAAAAACATGATAGTGCATTTGATTCCAGTACTTGGCTCATTCATTCATCATCTACTTGTAGTAAACATAGCTACTCTTCATTCCGCTCAGAACATTGACCAGCCCCGTGCCAATGGTTTGATCCTTAAAGATGCGTATTGACGAAGTTCTGCCTCCTTTACGGGACACGTCGTTGTCCCTCACTCTCTAGGCAGCTTATTTAACTTGCGAACGACTTCCGAAATGTTGACCTTAGCCTCTCTGAACGCGGCGTCCGCCGCTTCCAACTCCTCTTGCAAGCCCGAGATCACGTGCTCGAGCTCTCGTTTTCTTTCCAGGTGCTGGTCCTTTATCGCTTTCAGTTCCTCAAGTTCCTGCAGCAACTCCGTCTTCGGAGGGCCTGGCCAGGGGTAAGCCACTGGCCAAGTGTCAGAGTAATAGAACAGGCTACTCCGTACATACTCTGTATCAAGGTTTATGTGGGCAGCAGACTAAAACAGTTTAGTCTAGCAGGTGACTAAAATTTCGTTCTCATTGTATATAGCATAATGAGCAGATGTCCGTTGACGACACTTGAACCCTGGGGGAAAGGGTGCCGCCAACAAGGGCACAGCTAGGAATTCGGGATCAGAATTTCGAGTTGTTTACACGGGACGTGCATGGAGCCCTTCCAATCTGGGTGATCCTGCAGCAGTTGGACGCTCAAGTTGGTACTGTATGGGACCATACAGTAGCCGGACGATGTGGTTACCGAGACCACATGCTCACACCTTCACGTGGTGTCCGGTATTAATCGCCAAAAGAGGTGAGACCAAGATGAGCAACCAAAAAGTGATGACTACTATGAGCAGGATCAGTCACTTGTATCACAATTCAGATTCATTTCTAGTCTGCGGGTGTGTAGGGACATGATTATTCGATAACTCGCTCGACAGAGGGGAAGAGGCTTATGGATATTATCAAAGAGATGACAGGACACGAAAAACTGGAATCAGCCAGTTATAAGGACACCGGAACTTGACTGAACCGGAAAGTGCCCAAGAAAATCTCGTTCAAGGAAAGATCCTCCACGCTGACGCATCTCTAGAACCTTTCACCTGTTATTATGTGCTGACAGACGGTGTCGTACGCGACACGGCAAGCGCGATCGAAGGATGAGGGATGGATGTCGTTGACGGAAGGTTGAAATTAACTATGCTGGTTAGTCTGGTGGTAACCAGCGGTAAGTGGGAACCAGGGAGGCAAACAAACACGCTTATTTGTTGACTGTTGTGATAGGAAAGGATTTGCTTCGCGGGAGACTTGGCTGTCCTGTCGATTTGTCGAATTCTCCATTCATAACCTTACCCGAGGATGCAAACACGAGAAAGAATTCGATCACGACGACGAGACCTAACGGGCTTGGATTCAACAACTGTCAGGTGGAAGAGTTGAGAGGATCTGGATCAATATTGAACATGAGGGAGCGCTGGATTGCTTCGCGTTGTGCTGGTTGAAAAGAATTTGTCAGTGGTCAGGTCGCCGCGAGGACCGGTGACGGTTTAACTACAAGTATGGAAGGTCAACAGACATGCTATTAATGTAATAGTAGTCCTCCACGTCACTAGTCTGCCTGGTTTGAACCATATAGTCATGTGGCCTTGGCTAACAGATGACCACAATTTAACTTTTGTGAATAGCATCATGATTTCATCTCTATCCCTTCTTCCTATGTTATACAGCTACATTCTGTCCAATGGTTTATAATGCACTTTACAGCACTGTCAAGGCAAATTGTTCAATCAGAAAGCATATTATTCGCATGTGTTTCTCTTGAAAATGATTGAGATTTCAGAGTTAAATGATATGCTTCACAAGGTATGATTACTCCACTAGTCTAAGCCACTATTCCTTGTCTCTTCAACATTATTATATGCTCGGTCCTAATTATATATATGCTCACATTACAGATTCTACTGGATTTCTACTAGTGAGAGTCTGACAGCAACCTGCCAGTTGATAACATTACAATTGAGCCCAAAGTCTAACTACAACTGTACGTCTTCTTCATCCCATCCTTAACTTATTGACATTCAATGATTTGCTGACGATGATATCGGCCTAATGACATTATTAACTTGGTTATAAGCACTGGATTGGTGCAGACATTTAGACTCTATATTCCCAGGAGAGTTATTAGTTCATATAATCTTTGGAGCTACCCCAACTATACTGCTTTGTTAAATTAAGCCACAGAGAAAATCAATAAATGTCGACAGCAGGGCATCAGGAAGGCTCTGGCCGGCATCGACGCTGTATTGACATTGCTCATCCCATCGCCAAAACTGCTACCTTTTCCTAGTCCACTCGGATTTCTGGGCGATTATCACAGTGGACAACAAGCTCCATTATCTAATCTTTTCCCGCTATTCAGAGAGTCAGGGGGGTGAAATTGACATCTTTGCGTCCAATTCCTCTACCTCAAAACCCGGGTTGACACATGAAGTGTAAGCGATCAGATATAGCCAGGAGGCCGACAACAGCGAGATGAGAAGGAAGATCCCCGACGGTGATGGCAATGCGGGGGGATATGAGCAGCGGAAGCGACAGTTGGAAGTGCCCCCGCAAAAGGCTCTTGGAGGATGGTAGGACTGGCTTGCTGAGGGATATTGTGT